AAAAAGTCATTTTTCTTGTAGTGATTAGATTTCTTTAAGTTACCTTGTAAACACTTCCAAATCCACCATCTCCAATTTTGTTATGGGGAGAAAAGTTGTTGGTTGCAAGTGCAATAGTATTCAAGTCATATTGCAAGTCATCACATAAATTTCTTTAAGCTTGGAGTGAACAGGAGAGAAATTCAGAAACTACTGAATAATTAGAAACAGAAAATAAATAATACGGCTTAGTAGGCTTTCATGCTATTACATTGTCCAAAAAGTTGAAAATCAAATTTTGAACAAATAATCACATCGCATCTCTAACTTTGCTTAAATTTAGATGATTTGATTCGATCCAGAATCCAACTAGCGTGTACACAAATTCAACTAAGATCAAAAGGGAATTCTTTTTTCTTCTATTTTTTCTGTTGCGTCCTTGTAGCTTACCGTTTTCCTCATTGATATTGTTGTAACATTTCTTCCTTGTTCTCCTTGTCAAGAAGTAGCAGCCTATGAAGAAAATCACTATGGAAATGGCAATCGTAACAACCATGGCAATAATAAGTTGTTTGGAAATTCCGCCAACTAAAAAGGAAGAAAGAAAAGGAGGAATGTATTTTCAAAATCTTCCATTGAAGTAAAAAGGAAAAAGGGGATGTTTTCACTTTTTACCCTTTCGTTTTCCTTGTTCTTTAAGAAAAATAAAAAACTAAAAAACATACTACTTAAAAATCAAGAGGTTACATTCAGTACTGGGAGGCAGAGGCAGAAGAGGAGGAATATTTGGAGTAGGTGGTGGTGCAGGGGCCGCAGTAGAATTGAAGAAGGGGAAAACCGTATACCTAATATTATAGCTTTGGAAAAGAACTGTTCTTCCTTGTTTATTATCACATCATCTTGGTAATAGAGAGATCGCATTTCGAAGGCAGTTGCTGCAATCACCACTCGAAAGGTCCGGAGTGCACTGTGCCAGTTAAGGGTGGACGCGGGTCGGTTCGGTTTTGTTTGGTTCCAGAAATTTTCGGGTATTTAGTAAATGGAACTGCCTGTTCCAAATATAATTTTGGAACCGTTCGGGTTCGGTTCGGTTCTGTTCGATTCCGTACTATAATTAAATTTTTTAACATTTAGAATAATACTACATAAATACACCTAAAAGTAGACACTAATATTAATAAAAAAAAGTAGATATAAATACCAAGTTCAATCTTAACTTTTACAAATTAACGTAATCTAATTTAATAACATATAAATAATAAGTTGTCAAATACAAATACCAAAAAGTAAATATTACTAGTAAAACTTCGATGGTTCATATCAATAATTCATTTGTTTCAAACCTTCAAGTCTACATAAAAATGAAATATAAATTAGAAGTCATAAAGATAAAATATTTTAAAGTATTGATAATACTTACCAACTATTTAATGTAATCATCAGTTGATTGACTTTCCATACTAACTAATAAGAAATTGTACAAGAAAAAATTTAAAAAAACACAATTAACAAACATAAATAAACTCTAAATTGTTCAACTAATAAGATTTATTAGGAAAAAATTATTAATTTGTTTAAAAAAATAAAAGAAATTGATTCATCCAATATAAAAAAAAATCGGTTATTCGGTTCTTGGTCTAGAACCGAGAACGGGAATCAAACCATTCGGTTCTCGATTCGGATACCCGTTCGGGTATTTCATTTAAAAAAAATCGCTCGGTTCAATTCGGACATTTTGCCCAGCCCTAGTGCCAGTGTGTGCAAGCTTTGAAACGCCGTGAAGTTGGCTATTCTTGTAGCAAATTTTTTACCGGACAGAGTATTATTAAACGCTTCCGACGCTATTTCATTCATGGTCTCTCCTAATAACTGTTTGAACCTATTGGGTTCATCTATTATGTTCTGTAAATTGTAGAAATTTATGGGCATAACTCATCTCACAAAACCGGTTCAGTAAGAGAGGTTTGCCACATTGTTTATAAGCTGTCCCAATATATTGTNTAAGAGGAAATTACACAAAATCAGATTTTTAAAGATTAAATTTCAAAAATTAGATTTAGAGTGTGTTTGGTAGGGATTTTTGGGGGAAGAATTGATTTTTGAATAGTGATATGATGGGAAGTGTGTGGTTGAAAAAGAAGAAAAAATTATTGATGTGATGGAAAATATTATTTTATTGAAGAATGTGTGGTTGAAAATGAGAATTGATTTACTGTAGAAAAATTTAATTCCTCCCAAACAGGCCTTAAACTTTTAGACAAAATAAATAGTAATACCAGATAGTTGCCTTTTTTCATTGTGACAACGGTCTCAGACTTCAGCTGTAGCAGTTTCTGCACATGGTTCACTGACATCAGCGTTAACATTATTAGCAATATTGCCTCACAGTTCGGCAGTAGAAATTGTGAGGATTCTTGGAGAGATAAGGAGACCCAAAAATCTTGGAGTGATAAGGTTGTAAAATCCTCATGATGATTTCAAAATCAGTGGAGAAAGTTTGAGTGAGCTAGAAGACTTGGAGTCAGTAAGTTCAAACCAAAATATAATTCAACAAGGTGAGAAGATAATGCATGGAATAACAGCACAATCAGTTCAAGGAATCTAAGGCAGATTTGCTAATGTATTTTTTTTGTTTAATTAGGAAGCATGTACAGTGAGTGCTCACGTCTTTTTTGGTCCATATTCAATAAAACAATTCTTCAGTTTTTTATATTTTTCGTCTAACATCACCTCTACATAGAAAGAGGCTGTTGACGGTGTCTGTGGGGCCACGGCCAACAGTGTAGCTGTAAAATCCGTTCTCTTGGCCAGTGGCGTTGGAGGATAAAGTGACAAGAAGTTTATTCAAGTTGGCTTTATAGGTGCTATTAGGATTGTATGTAGTTGTATTCGACAGTATTTATAAAGAAATTGGGAGCTGATTCTTGTGCTGAAGCAGTGAATGCAAATAAGCAAAAATATTTAGTGATGATGAAAACTGACATATTTGATATCACACATTTTCCTATGAGTACAAAATAACTGAGGTTGCGTAGTTGAAGAAAAATGGGCCACATATGTATGTGTATGTGTTACGGGCGTGAGTGTATACTTAAGAAGAAGCAAGTGTTTGGAGCCCATGAAAATTACTCTGTTGCAGTTGGAATTGGAGATCAAAATTAGTCGCCTCTGAGGTAAAAGAAGCATATTTCGAGCTGAAAGGGTTTCTTGTTATCGACAGGAAGACAAAGAAGAAGAAGTAGATGCTTGCAATTCCATGGACGAGAAAGAAAGAGCAGAGAAAAAGGTTTAAGAAGTGTATACTTCTATTTTACACTCCTTTCGGCGACTGGTTTTTTCTCTTCTTTTCTGCATTCTTGAGAATAACACCTTCAATAAGCGTTTTTCCTCAGCACTTTAACACCATGTTTGGCTATGCTTAAATTTACTTTTTAAGAATTTTCTTATTTTCTAAATATTTTGGATCAGATGCTTCTTTCTTAGTTATAAATAAAATGCTAATATGATTAGCTTTACTTTCAAATCAAGTATATATATGTAAAACTTTTATTTAGACAATGATTATTTAGGGTCCATTTGATTGCTAATGTGGAAAATTGGTGTAAAGAAAATGTTTTACACGAAATTGAATTGTCTAGAAATTGTTTTACTGAGAATTGTAATTAATTGTGTTTGATTGATATAATTTTTCACCTGGAAAATGTTGAAAGTTTGGTGTACGTTTAGCTTTGTTTTTTATGAAAATTATCCATTAAAGTGATAATTTATTCTACCATTGGGTCTAAAATTTGTTACAATTGCCAAAAAAA